TTTTATTAAATGGAATTTCTTATCAAAATAAATGGCAATAAAACAAGCAAAACAAAAACAAAAGTAAAACAGCAATTTTTACTCAACAGTGTTTGTGCCTTTCCTTCCCTATTGTAAACATTGATTAATCAACTTGAAAGTAACATTGATTTATCAACTTGACAGTTACAATGATTTTTCATTATAGTATCTTTCCTGATACATCAACATTATAACAACCTTCCTCTTGTAAACATTGACTTATCACAATAAATAACCTTCTCCAATGTAAAAAATTATCAACATTATAAAACCTGTCAAGTGGTAAAAATTGATTTATCAAAATTTAAAAACCTTCCTGTTGTAAACATGATTTATCAACATTGAAACAATTTCCCTATTGTAAACATTGATTTATAAACATTAAAATACCTTTTCTTTTGTACAAACATAGAAATATCCTCCCTGTTATGAACATTGATTTATCAACTTGAAAGTAACATTGATTATAATATCCTTCCATTTGTAAACAATGACTTAGGAAAATATAAAATAAATGAACAAAAGGCAAAAACTCCAAAATAAGGCAAGGCAGAGTTATGGTTTTACGCACTGCACTTCTATTCAATAAGATCTATCTTTCTATAAAGTTTCGTGATGATATCTCTTATAGTTTCAGAGTTATGTCCCGGGTAAAATTCAAAGTGTAAAAATTAACAAAGGGCAATAACTCCAAAATTAGACAAGGCTGTGTTTAGGTTCTTTAGCATTGCAGTTCTATCAAATGAGATCTATCTACCTACAAAGTTTCATGGTGATATCTCTTATAGTTTTAGAGTAATCTCCAGGACAAATAGTTTTAGAGTAATGTCCAGGACAAAGTTCAAGTATAAAAATGAACAAAGGGCAAAAACTCCAAAATAAGGCAAGGCAGAGTTATGGTTCTTTCACAATGCACTTCAACACAATAAGACCTATCTACCTAAAACGTTTCATGTTGATATCTCTTATAGATTTACAGAAATGTCCTGGACAAAGTTCAAAGTGTAAAAAAAAACAAAGGGCAATAAGTCCAAAATTAGGCAAGACAGAGTTATGGTTCTTTAACAATCCACTTCTACTCAATGAGATCTACCTACCTACAAAGTTTCATGTTTGATACCTCTTATAGTTTTAGAGTAATTTACCGGACAAAGTTCAAAGTGTAAAAATAAACAAAGGGCAATAATTCAAGTATTAGGCAAGGCAGAGTTACAGTTCTTGTGCACTGCACACCTATTCAATAAGATATATCTACCTACAAAGTTTCATGTTGATACCTCTTATAGTTTTAGAGTTACGTCCCAGACAAAATTCAAAGTGTAAAAATAAACAAAGGGCAATAATTCAAAAATTAGGCACGGCAGAGTTATGGTTCTTGTGCATTGCACACCTACTTAATGAGATCTATCTACCTACAAAGTTTCATGTTGATACCTTTTGTTGTTTCAAAGTTATGTCCCCGGACAAGAAAAGCGGACGGACGGACAGAGGGAGCGACGACTATTAGCACACCTTCCGGGAGCATAAAAAAAAATTCTTTTAACAGTATCTTTTTAACAATAACTAATACAGGGATCTTCCCTATTTTGGTGCATTAAAAAAGAAAATTATCCAACTCTATCAAGGGGAAAAAATCTAAAACTAAACTAAACTTCTATAACTAAAAACGTTATATCAAACTGTTCAACAGTAAAAGAAATACATGTGCAGCTTCAATTTTCATGGTTAAAAGAACTTTAAGCACAAATTTTTGCATTATTTCATAAAATTATATTTAACTGCAATATTTATGTTACATTGTTACCATTGGCAACAACCTGGTGTTCCATATCTTCACTAACATTACTGTCATTCACGCTAGATTTTGAGATATTCCCCTCATTACTTATACTAGTATCAGAAACATCACATTCTCGACTTACATCCATCTTAAATTGTTTTGACCGATCTTGTCCACGTTTCTGTTTCCTATGCGCTTTCTTTTCCTCAAGCTCCTTCGCAAAGTGCTCTTTCCTGTCCTTCACCTGTTGCATGTGCGCAGCATACGTAGAATAGTTCGCCGGTTTCTGTTGCAACATACAATCTGGAATTTCAATGCCAAGCAGTTCTCCGACCATGTACGGTTTTAACCAAACAACTAAAGGAGATGCACCAAACGTGTAGTGGGCTTGCTTGTGGTAGAATAGACAACCATCAAACTGTAAAGATAAACAATCTGCTTCTATAAGACAAAGCACTCCACTTCCTTCTCCTGCCATAAAGGCCCCAGCCCCCACCCCTGAAGTGCAAGGTTGAACAGTAAATTTACTTTTCATAGGTCAATGAGAAATCATAGCAAGAAAACATACATTTTTTTTAAATATGTTGTATTTGTGATGACTAAAACAAGCATGTATAACACAATGATGACAGCTTTATAACACATACTCAAATTGTTTCCACTGAACTGGCTATATAGTGTGATATATCATTGATTTTCGGCTTTCAATATTGATACAAAATTTTCCATCAATGTCTGCCCTTGGAATATGATTGCTCTTGATTGTGACATAACATTGGAATAGTCATTTTGTGCCTGAAAAGTGTAGCTGGTGAAAGTAGGCATCATGTGTCCCTAGCACTTTGTGCGCAATTGGAGGCTGAAGTGGATCCTCCAACCTTCAGTTACGAAGTTTCCTATCATAAGCTTTCAGACCCTGAAAAAGTTTTCCTAATCATTTTTTAAAACATTTTGTCCACTAATTGCATTTTTATTAACCGCTGCACTTCATAAATCAATTGCCTTTAAATTCCTAAAATGTAATAATTCAGATTGCTATGATTTTAATGGTAAAACTACTTGCCTGTGTTGTTGTTGATTTAAATAACTCTTCTAGATTCTCTTTCTTACAGCTATGATACTGAAGTGGTATGAATTTGTACTGAAAAAAAAAAAAAAAAAAAATAAATATCATTCAACATAATCAGGCCCATAAGAACATGTGACTAAATCATTGCAAAATTATAATATGTTTTAACAAAAACACAACAAAAATTCACACAATTATAAGAAGGATATAAATTCAGTGCCAACATATATTTTACAATAATAATCATCTTAGACACAACCATTTTTATTAGAAATTTTTTTATATGATATACTACAGTAATGCAGACCAGTCTTGACCCTTAGAAGTCAATGACAAACTCGACACTTAAGTCAACGATAATGGTCGACGCTGCAGTCAATGACAAACTCTACACCAAAGCCACTCTGAAAGCCCAAGCTAATGTCAATGACAAACTCTACACCAAAAGCCACTCTGAAAGCCCAAGCTAAAGCCAATGACAAACTCGACACAAAAGCCAACAATAGAAAGTTGAAGCCTATGTCAATGACAAACTTGAAACATACACCAACGATAAACAAACCACGCTAAAGTCAATGACAAACTCGACACCAAAGCCACAATGAAAGCCGGCGCTAAAGCCAATGACAAACTCTACACCAAAGCCACAATGAAAGTCGGCGCTAAAGCCAATGACAAATTTGACACCAAAGCCACAATGAAAGCCGGCGCTTAAGCCAATGACAAACTCTACACCAAAGCCACAATGAAAGTCGGCGCTAAAGCCAATGACAAATTTGACACCAAAGCCACAATGAAAGTTGGCGCTAAAGCCAATGACAAACTCGACACCAAAGCTACAATGAAAGTTGGCGCTAAAGCCAATGACAAACTTGACACCAAAGCCAACAAAAGAAAGTTGAAGTCTAAGTCAATTACAAACTTGATACCAATGCCAACACTAAAAGCCGGCATTAAAGCTGATAACAAACTTGACATCTAAGCCAACAATAAAACTTGGTACAAAAGCTAAAGCCAATGACAAACTCAACACCAAAGCCAACGACAAAAGTTGACGCTAAAGTCAATGACAAAGTCGACACCTAAGCAAGCAATAATAGTCAACACCAAAGCCATTGAAAAACTCAATACTAAAGCCAACCCTAAAGCTGATGACAAACACATAGGCCAACAATAAAAGTTGACGCTAAAGTCAATGACAAGCTTGACACTTAAGCCGACGATAGTAGTCGACGCTAAAGTCAATGACAAACTTGACACCTAAGCCAATGATAAAAGCAGGCCCTAAAGCCAATGACAAAGTGGACACAGAAGCCAACGATTAAAACCGGCCCTAAAGCCAATGACAAACTTGACACCTAAGCCAATGAAAAAGCAAATAAGAGTGTCCTGACAAGAGCTCTATAGTTTTTGTTTGCAAAGTGGTGAGTACTTACTGGATTCAATTTGCTGACTTCCCCAACCTCTGGAATCTCCTGCATTTTGCTCATCATCCAGAAAAAACGAAAGTCAGTCTGAAATTATACAAAACTTTTTTGTCATACTTGACATTTTACTAGTATAAAAAATTTAACTCCTTGATTTGAAATAAAACATGTGTACTTTGAATGACTTATAGAGTAAAACTATTGCATACAGAAGTTAAATTGCATTACTTCTTCACAGCTTCTAAATAATTCCAGTTTTTTGTTATTTTTTGAAGTTTTTTTTTTTCTAAACAAAAAGAAACATTACTGAATACTAAATATCATCATATAGGTAAGTTAGACCATGAAACAAGTTAATACAACATATAAGAGTATATTGTATATTCAATAAATTTAGTGTTCTGGAACTAACCAGTACTGGTTTCAATTAAGGTAACATGGCCGTGGCCAAAGTAGGGCATATATCTAGAAAATAGTTTCACCATTGTACTAATCCTGTTTCTTGCCTAACTGACATAACTACGAGCTGTCATCGATAGAAACAATATTGATATAGCCTTGATATTTTTTCTGTCGATCAATAATCGATACACATTTGAAAAAAATGATATTCTATATAAGCTGATTAAATGTCTAGAAAAAGAAAATATGAAATTCATCCTATAGAAACAAACATGTATATTGAAACAGGTGTCCATGCCTAGAACTATCTTGTTGTTACGTAATGGACATATTTCATAGCAGTGTTGACAAAAAGGTCATGGCTGAGTGGTTAACTCGTCGGACTAGTAATCTATTGATCACTAGCCGAATGTGTTCAAACCCCGTTGGGAGCAAGTCCTTGTTTCCTTGAGCAAGAAACTTTACACTCATTGCTCAGTACTGGTTGGTTCTAGAAACTGATTCAAGTGTATCTATAAGCTTATCTAAGCTTCCTACACAATTGAACTAAAATAAATTTTGTACAAGAGGGCCATGATTGCCCTGAGGTCGCTCACCTGTGGGCCAATTTTTACCCAAGGGCTTTTATTTGAACAGACTTGGTAGACACCCATAAGAAGATGTTTCATGCTAAACATCTAATTTCAAGCTCATTGGGTTTTTTAAAAGAAGATTTTTTAAGTTTTTACTATACACATATAGTTAAAAACAATGACACCCCTGGGGCAAGGCCAGTTTTGACCCCCAGGCTTTTATTTGAACAAACTTTGTAGATATTTACTTAAAAATGTTTCATGTATAATATCTAAACTCAAGCTATTTGGGATTTTTCAAAGAAGATTTTCAAGTTTTTGCTATACACATATAAGGAAAATCAATAACCCCTGGGACGGGGCCAGTTTTGACCCAAGGGCTTTTATTTGAACATACTTGGTAGACACCCATTTGAACATGTTTCATGCTAAATATCTTAGCTCTAGCTCTTTGAGTTCTTTAAAAGAAGATTTTTTAAGTTTTTACTATATGCATAAAGGGAAAATCAATGACCCCCTAGGGCGGGGCCAATTTTGACCCCAGGGCTTTTATTTGAACAAACTTGGTAGACACTCATTAGAAGATGTTTCATGCTAAATATCTTAGCTCTAGCTCTTTGGGTTCTTTAAAAGAAGATTTTTTAAGTTTTTACTATATGCATATTGGGAAAATCAATGACCCCCCGGGGCGGGGCCAATTTTGACCCCAGGGCTTTTATTTGAACAAACTTGGTAGACACTCACTAGAAGATATTTCATGTCAAATATCTTAGCTCTAGCTCTTTGGGTTCTTTAAAAGAAGATTTTTTAAGTTTTTACTATATGCATATAGGGAAAATCTATGACCCCCTGGGGCAGGGCCAATTTTGACCTCAGGGCTTTTATTTGAGCAAACTTGGTAGACACTCATTAGAAGATGTTTCATGCTAAATATCTTAGCTCTAGCTCTTTGAGTTCTTTAAAAGAAGATTTTTTAAGTTTTTACTATATGCATATAGGGAAAATCAATGACCCCCTGGGGCGGGGCCAATTTTGACCCCAGGGCTTTTATTTGAACAAACTTGGTAGACATTCACTAGAAGATGTTTCATGCCAAATATCTAAGCTCTAGCTTTTACAGTTCTTTAATAGAAGATTTTTTAAGTTTTTACTATATGCATATAGGGAAAATCAATGACCCCCCGGGGCGGGGCCAATTTTGACCCCAGGGCTTTTATTTGAACAAACTTGGTAGACACTCACTAGAAGATGTTTCATGCCAAATATCTTAGCTCTAGCTCTTTTTTGGGTTCTTTAAAAGAAGATTTTTTAAGTTTTTACTATATTGCATATAGGGAAAATCAATGACCCCCTGGGGCGGGGCCAATTTTGACCCTAGGGCTTTTATTTGAACAAACTTGGTAGACACTCATTAGAAGATGTTTCATGCCAAATATCTAAGCTCTAGCTCTTACGGTTCTTTAAAAGAAGATATTTAAAGATTTTTCTTTCGGTTGCCATGGCAACCAGAGTTCTGCATGAAATGGAATTCTTTGAACAATCTTGATAGAGCTTCATACATAGAGTATTCCTGCCAAGTTTCATTAACATTGGCCTTGCGGTATCATAGAAGATGTCCTTAGAATATTTAAAATGTGGACAGACGACTGACGACGGACGCCATTTGGTTGGCCATCCTAAAAGCTCACCTGCACTTTGTGCAAGGTGAGCTAATAAACCAAAAAGGTCAGAAAAAAGTCATGCAATATGGACACATCTTAAATTGTATCAACTGTATATGTATTTTACTGAAATCAATTAAACAGGAAAATTATTGACATGTAATGATCGTTATATTGGTTATCACATATCAATAATTTGTCAATATCCTTTGCACTGAATCAATGACAGCTCTACAAATCACTGTGTTAGAATTATACTTACATCACTATCATAAACAGGGTGGTCCTTCCAATTCATGATGTCCAGCACATAGAATGTTTTCTCTATTTCATGATATATGCAATCCAATATGGCATTTTCTGAAAAGTTATACCATTACATGTTAATCATTCATTTGGTGCCATATTTTGAAGAAGACAGCTAAAATTACTAATGGAGTTACCTGGATAGAACTATATATTAATAGTAAAAGATATACTTTGCTCATCTTTTGGTAAAATAGTTTTATTGCAGAAATCTAGTAAATTCCAAATGAATATGCCTCATTGGAATAAGTGAATATTAAACAAACTTTTCAGGCCACTGCATTCCCTACTACAGGTTAAGTTAATTTTGTCATTCCTTAAAATATAAAGAGCTGTCAAATTAGTAATGTTCTCTAATCTTTTCTTGTAGGAAAGGGGCATTATTATGCACAAAAACCCATGACATGATCTTCCATGTCAAACCTTTACTAATTATCATAATTTGAATCATTTGATGTCAAAATCATAAGCATGAGCATGTTTCGTGTGTTAAAATCTTCTTTATAATAGCCTGATTACATGTCAAGATCGATTAATAATTAAAGATTTTGACTTATCACGATCTTGACTTTAACATAATAAATCTTGAAATAATCATAAACTATTTTGACTTACTCATAACATATGTTATCTTATTTATAATCTATTTAGATATATTCATAGTTTATCTTGACTTATTCATAGCTTACCTTGACTTATACATGGTTTACCTTGTCTTATTCATAGTTTATCTCGACTTATTCATAGTATATCTTTACTTATTCATAGTTTTTCTTGACTTATTCATAGTGTATTCTTGACTTATTCATAGTTTACCTTGACTTATTCATAGTTAATTCATAGTTTTTTATAAAAACACAAACAGTGTTTAATCCAATTAAAATTTGAGTATTATCAAAAAGTTTTGAGACGACACCTACTGTATTTTCCATGATAATTCTTATATTAAAAATAATATAAAATAAATGTTTAGCAATTTCAAATTATAAGATTGTGTACAAGAAGATAAAGTAAACAGTGAAAATTGAGAATGTATACACAAATTTCAAAATATTACAAAAAAGATGAAAAATTACATTTTTGTATATATATTACATGAAAAACAGAGTCAAAACATTTTGTAAAGTTAAACCATGTATATTTATTTTGACATGCATTTATAATCTCATGACCTTGTAGTTTTGCTTATCTTAACAAGTGCTATTTATAAGTCCAATATCAATAACATAAAAAAGAAATAGATACCACTTTAAACCATATTTTCTACACGCATTTGAAAACAAGAACAATAAATTGTCAATGAACGGATTTAAACTTTCTCATTTGAACAATTTTAAACACAACTAAATAGACAGTACTGTATAATAAATTCATGCTTTAATTTTTTTTTAAAAATCATGGCTCAATCCAGGATAGACTTCAGTGCTTCACTAACACAGGACTCTGATGAAGTTCAGGAAATGTTTTTGTGAACATTGTGATAAACATGACAAGCAATATGTTCCTGCAGAGGGATTTTGTGAAGACTGTGTTGAGTACCTGTGTGGAATTTGCCTTAAATTTCATAAACGATATATGCCTACTCATACCACAAAGGATAATGATAACATGCCACAGGATTTCTGTCTAGAGAAATGTTCTGTCCATCAAGATGAACTAGTTAAGTTCTATTGTCAAGCTTGTAAGAAATTTGCCTGTACTGAATGCAAGACACAAGACCATGGGAACTGTAGTATGATCAGCCATTTGCCAACTCTTGTTCCCGGAATTGAAAACAGCCAAGAAATCAAAGAACTTTATGAAAATCTTAATGAGTTAATGAAAGATTTAGAAAATACAGAAGAGCAAGTGAACATAAACAAGAAGGAGATTGCTTCACAAGAAACAAAGATATTAGATAAAGTTATGAAAAAGAAAAAAGAAATACTGTCAGCATTTGAAAAACATCAGAAAGAAATAATTCAAGACTTTGAGAAGAAAATAGAAGAAACCTTAAAAGGACTTAAACAGGAGAAAAAAGAGAAGATTGAAAAATTACAAGAACATCAAAGGAAACTAGAAAAGTTATTAAATGATGAGGAGAATGAAATAAAGAAGAAAATTGAAATCATAAAAAGGAATGACAAGAAAGTTTTGAAGACGATTACTGAAGAAACCTCCAAAATGAAAACAAAACTAAACACTATATCACAGAAACTGGTTTCATCATCAAGGTACAATCAAAGATTTTCAACTCTTTTTTGCTTGGAAAAAGGGGCAAGAAATCATTTAACAATTGAAAAAAAAAATTTTAGGGGGTCAACAATTTAAAAAAAATTCTATTCCCCCCTTTTCTACAAAATTGAAAAAGCACGCTTCGAAAAAAAATTTAACCCGAATTAAAAACAAATTTTGATAAATTTTTCCCCTTTCCAAGAAAAATACACAAGTTCGGAAAATAACAAGAAAATGCTAAAATTATTACACAGATATTAAAGTTTAAAGGTAAATTTTGAATTTTCTTTAAAGCCCTTTTATCAAAAGGGAAAACTGTCTTCTAAATTTTTTCATTTTTGACTCTGGGGAAAACTAGTTTTTTTTTCAAGGGGATTTGACAGTCCTACTACATCATATGATAAAATTTTGACCTGCCTTTTTAAAACCCTTGGGTTCCTCTTTTAAAATTGACAAATAAAAAAAGCTTTCCCACCAAAAATTTCCTAGATTTTTGGAAAATAAAACTGATTTAAAATTTTCCTTTAAATTTTTTTGACAGTGAACCAAACTGAAAATATGAATAGGAGAGGTTTTCCCCTGGTTTTGCCTTTTAGTTTAAAAAAACCCAAACTTTATAGTATCTTACATTAAACCACCCCGTTTAAAAGTGAATACTTTTGGGGCATGTCTGGTAAAGTATTTTGGGAAAAAATTTTTAAAAAAGAACGCCCTGGGAAGTCTGGGTTGTTTGTCCTTTTTTTACTTTTTCAGTCAGTGCAGACAAAACAGGTTATATTTTTTATCTTGAAATTTGGAGAAGAAAATTGTTTATAGGTTTAACCCCTTTTGGAAAGAAGTTCCCAAAGGGCCCTTTAAAAAGGGTGATCAGCTGAAAAAACCATGTAAATGACTGTAGATAGGTCTGGGACAGTGTTTGTATGCGGATATTCTCCACACAATATACATCAATTATCATCTGACCTGACCAAGGTGAAGATTCTACTGGGTAAAGAACAAGGAATAATTGGACCATCAGGTGTGGCATACTGCCAGAATACAAACAGATTGTATGTGTGTCAATATGCTAATAACATTAAAGTGTATGATTTATCACTGGAATAAAACTATTTCTATCTGAATAGCCTGCAGAAAATACTTGAAAAATATTATATATTGAATTTCATTCCATATTTCTCTAAATTGCAAAAGCATTATTATGATGAATTTTAAAATAAAAGATGTATGTATTATACTTGTGTATTTCTTGTAGTGTTGTCATATTTATCTGTTTATAGATTTGATCATTTAAAGGAATACTCAGGCAAATAAATGACAAAAATATTAAAGTGATTTAATGTATTCAAATAACGCTTAAAATGACATTTTTTAAAGTCACAGGATGAATTTCTGTATAAATTCTATATATTTTGAGTTTGAAGCGTAATATATATCTAGATATATTGAACGTAGTTCAGACGCCAACAGAGTAACCGAGTAAAACAAATAATGTGACTTGAACAAACCCTGGAAATAACAGATATTGTGGATAGTGTAAGAATGAAACAAGTCTAAGTCATTTATTTGATATGTTCTTTAACGTTTCCAGTGTTCACTGTGGCCACTATTGTGAAATCTAAAAGCTCTAACCTGACCCACGTGGGTCAAGTTAAGAAACCAGCATTTTATTCTTTATAATGAGAAGTTTTGAATTTATTTTGAGGACATTTACAAAATAATTAATGAAAAAACGAAGAAATGAAAATTTTGCCTGTGTCTCCCTTTAAGCCAATAACTGGTTAGAAAATTTAATAACTGGTAGCCAGGCTAGTATTAGGCCAACATAAAAAAAAATTATTATTTCAAAATAATACAATGTTTGTGTCTTCATGACAAGTTATGACATTTAATTTGTTTGTATTTTATTTGTATTTTTTTTCTGACTGCACAGAATGTCTTATAATGAAATGGACAATAGTAATTCTATAATTGAATATCTTTTGTAATCATTGTTGAGTACAGCAAAATACAAACAAAATTTGATATTTTAGAATTAAAGAAATCTTTTATAATGACCGGTTAAACACTTAACAGGGTTATCAAGTCACCGTTTATACAAGCCAACCGTAACATCCCATTTTTTGTGTCATTAGCGACTTACTTCATGCTTGAGAAATATGAGAACAATTTAGTCTACAGGCCTTAAACATTTAAATCTGAGCTTTTTGTACATTTTATTTAAATTAATGATTCTTTGTACTTTATGATTAACCTATAATTCTTTTATTTTTTTCTCTATAAATTTATGCAGTGATTTTTCCTGCATATTTGTGAAACCTCAATGTAAGCTACAAGCTTTATTTTTGTCACTAAATGTTTAGATGAATAAATTTATAAATGTACCTACCTCCTGTATATATTACTATCAGATCAGATTTGTTTTGTAATTAAAGGTATATTATATCATTCAGTGTGTATTGTTTTCATATCTACACTTTGATTTCTTAAAAAGTAACTGCAATATTTATTAATAAGATTAAATCTAATATCAAATAAATTTTTTGGAATTAAGAATGTTCTTTTTCATTTCATAATGTAATCACTCTTAGAAACAAGAGCCGCTTGAACCGGGTGATGCTCCCTGAACAGGTTTTGACACAGAGAAACTACTTCTTGTTGATATCTCGTGTAGTTTCAGAGTTATGTTCCGGACAAAGTTCAGTGTAAAAATAAAGAAAGGACAATAACTCTTATATGAGGCAAGGCATAGTTACAATTTTTATGAAGTGCACATCTTCCCAATGAGATCTATCTACCTACAGAGTTTCTTGTTGATATCTCTAATAGTTTCCTCATGTAAGCACGGACGAACATTCACCGAATATTACATCAAAAGTGGCAACTAAGTTGAGCTCACTGCAAGCAGGTTCAACAATAAATGATGAATTATATATATCCAAACAGATGGAAGCATGCACACAAGCACGGACGAACATAAAATGAACTTTACGCAAAAAATGGCAACTAAGTTGAGCTCAATGCAAATGGGTTTGACAATAAACGATGTATATCAGTGAAATATGAATATCTGGTAACATCTGGATAATGCATTGTATTCAAAATACAATAACTTCAAATCTAGAGAAAATCTTAACAGATATATATTACAGTTTTAAAATCTTACAATAATAAGTATGATTAGAGTATGATCTCCCAAAAGTCTCTCAAAACAACAAAAAACAACAATAACTTTGTAGAATTCAAATTGATAGATCCCTTGCTATTGTTATAATGTCTCTATGTACATGTATTTTTCATGTTGTTTCCGTGTCTTTATTCTTTAACCTGCGGGCAGCAACCAAATCTACCCATAGCAACCAGTGCAGACCAAGATCAGCAAGCATATCCATGCCATTTGATCATGTTCTGCACTATTTTCTTATTTAGTCAAAATACATTCGAAATTTCCCTCAAAATGATAAATAGTTTTGTCAAAATTTAAATAAGGGCATTTAAGATATTTAGCATGGTAAGAGTTAAAGGTATACATGTATGTATTTACTGCATTATTAAGTAGGGAAGTGTTCCTTTTACTGTTGCTTGGGTGGTGTTGATGGTAGTGGAGTTTGTGGAGTTACATGTAAAGCAACTTGCTTCCAGATTCATGCTTACTTTCATGAATTTTTTTTAAATGTATTAAAAAGTTAAATATTGTCGAGTGACCAAAGAAAAGTACATTTAATTTACACATTGTAAACAGTACTTAAAATCTACAAGAAATACCAAAAATAGGTTAAAATATGCAAAAATAGCCCTTACATCTTTAGTTTAGTTGTATAAATATGGTGAATTATATTGCAAAATAGGTCATTAATTGCATATAACATGTTAATTATTTCTTGAATTGTGTATATTTTTATTTTTCTTAAAATCATAGTACATTTTTCACAAGAAAATGAAATATTTGAAATATTTTAGCTTATCTGATGGCAAGCAGCTTAAAGTGATAATATCACTGTTTCCAGCTCTATTGTTGGAAAATTAAGACTCAATTGACCCATTTATATTTAACTTTCTTCCAGTATCAGGGATTTGAGTGTCTTCTTGAAAATCTAGCTTCTGTACGCTGGCTATAGATACATATGACCAACTGTTTGACAAAAAAAGTATAAACAGTTTTGAATAACTTGAAAACCTTTTTATTTTCTACATCAAAGGGGTTATTTATAAGCTTTTTGTACATCCATTCACAAAAGCATTAATGTAGTTGTTGTTTTTGGTTGTTTTTAGAACAGACAACATCTAAGATGAAAGCAGGCAAGATGCTTTATAATTCAGGAAAGCAGATAAATCTAACAGACAAGATGATGTTATATAATCAATGCTATATTCTATAATCAACTTATTTGGTTGATTTCCTTCTTTCGTTTGCTGTCTGCATCACAAATTTTCGGCTCAATATATCCCCGACAAATTGATTCCTTTGAGATGCTTCTGCAAGCATTCGTTCAGGGCAATAATATAAATGTACAAATAAACATTCACTTGTCTGGTAAACTGAATAATCCAAGATCTCATATAATATGTCACCTTAGTGCAGTAATGGGTTAACTTCTATTAAATTATATAAGGAGTTAAGCCATTTCTGCACTAAGGTGATGATAATATGAACCTGTAAGCTCACTGAAGCAGTTAAAAAGGTTTATAAACATTTTTCGAATTAGAATTTGTAAAATGAATTTGGCCTTATCAAATTTGGAACAGTTCAATATTTGCCTAACCTTGCTGAAAACTAAAGTGATTTAATTCTGCTTCTACTTCTGCCATCAGTATTATAGACAGGTCAGCCTTCATACAGTGCAGAAATTCAGGTTGAAAGTTCATTAATGAGATATCAGAGTAAAAACTTAAAGCTATACAAATCACACTGAAGAAGATATAAACATGTTTATTTGTTTATCTTTTTGTTGTAGTTGTTGTTCAAATTTTAAGTCACAACTACACTGTTAAGGCAACTGTTCAGTTCTACTGGTAGAGTAAGACTTTGTGACTCCGCTGCATGTAGTGTTTCAAGCATGAGAGGGAACATAAGTTGATACAATAAAATTCTTTCTATTAGCAAGACAGCTTCTTCATAATTATGAAAGAATTCTAAGTCTCAAGCACAATTAAATTCCCCGACAATCAGTTCAGAAACAGCAATAATTCTCTCAAAATTAGTGCTAGAGTTATGGGCCTTGGAAAGTGATTTTTATTATGATCTCAAATAAAGATGTGAATTTCCAAGCAAACATCTTAAATGGTGGTGCTGTACAGGAAATTAACATATAAAAACTTTAACCAAAGTGTTACACTTACCCTAACACCCAATAGAGTAGGATAGTATCTTCAAATAGTCGAAATAAAAAATGATCATAAAATTCATTCCTTAGGAACATTTTCCATATCAATAAACTTTCCTTTGTGAGAGCAGCAGGCATTTTTTCAGGCTTTATCTTCTCCAGGACTACTGAGTCATGTCTGACATGAAAACAATAAAGAATCTGACACTCAAAGTGGTATTCGCACTCACAACCTACCCTCCTACCCATCAACCTACCAAGGGGCAGAATGATTCAAAGAAACCTTGACTACTCATCTACCTAGTTTAGATATGTAAAATAATACCATAAAATAACAGCATGGAATATGTAAATATGAAATTAATATGACATTTATTTTTTCATTTTATACTTACAGAACATAAGTTATGACACCTATACTCCACATATCAGTTTGTACAGACAATGGCTCAAAACTAATAACTTCAGGTGCTGCAAAAAATAACACAAAATGATTATAATGGTTATGTGCATTTATTCTATCATATCTAGATTTAAACAACATACTGGTGTATGGTCTTTCATCTTTTTCCATCTTTTTTTTCCCTTTTTTTTATCATATTTTGGGTATAAAAAGACCAAGTCAGCCAGCCAACAGTATAAAGCCTGACCAGATTGCACAGAAGTTCAGGCTAGCCTGAATCTATACTGGTAGTTAAAGCTAATCACTTCCTGTTACAGCAGGTTACGGGTAAACCTATCATTTAAAACTCCTATGTAAAGGACAACCCATTTAAATGTTAT